AACTAAAAATATAATCTGTTTAAAAAAATCTTATTTAATTTAATAATAAAATTTGAGCCAATCAAAATTAATCACCTTATTGATAATTAGGAAATGATCGATATAAAAATTGACCAATCATACAAATATCTGCCATGCTGGTGTGACAGATATCTGTATTAATATATTTGTGTAACTGATTAGTTAGATTAATCTGTGTGACAATCGATTTCTCATATTGATATACAGTCGTCCCCTTTATAGTTATACCCTTTGGGACTAAAAATAAAAAGTATGATTATAATAAAAAGTTATTATACAGGGGAATTTTTATTTGTTATTACTAAATGTTAGTTCTGAAAGAGTGTGACTATAAAAATACTGTGATTATAATGAGGTTTTTTTATATTGCATTAATAGGTATTGATTCTTATGAAATGTGTGCTTATAATGAGGGATTTATATGATATGATTGTATAGGGGGTGACTATAGAGGGGACGACTGTATATATATATATATTTCACACTTTTCATACTTTTTATCGTAAAAGCTATGTCGTCTAATCTTCTGAAAGTTGAACAAGTGAAGGCATGGAGTCGAGAGAGAGTTAAAATGTTTTTGCAAGAGAACAGAGCTAGATTAGACCTTGAAGATGAGGATATCGATAAAATATATACTTAGAAAGTTAAGAGTAGAACTTTCCTAGATTTTACTGCTGTGGATTTTGAGAGATAGGGGATACAAAAAATAACACAGTTTAGACTATCCTAATAATTTTATTTGAATAAGTTTTTGAAAAATAAAAAGAAAAATTTTTTTTTAAAAAAAAGGCTTTTTATTGCTAAGTATAATTAACTGGTTACAATATATATTTTTTGTAATCAGTTATGTTAAATTGTTACCTAGTTATGAGTAAACTGCTATCTACCTATGAATATACTATTATCTACTTATGTATTTTCTATGTTTTGTGACCTTTTTATTGCCCTTTTGATATCCACTTGTTTTCATTGTTCTGTGATCTTTTTGTAGCCAAAATGCTAATCTGTATTGATTGCTAAAATTGTGTTGTAGTCAGGTAATGCAGTTAAATCATGTGACTTCATTTTGGCTCAAAATGATAGAATGTAATGCTGAACTTGCAATCTATTATTTATTTCCCATCCATAATCCATTCGATTGCTGAATTGAGACACAAAGTGCCGAACTTGTGATCCATATTTATTTCCCTCTTAATTGCTAGATATTTGCAATTCTGCTATGTTTGATCCATTTGATTGCTAGGTTGAAATGCTGAATTTGCAATCCTACTAATGTTGCTATCCGAAACTATTTAGGAATTTTCAAAACTAAAACTAAAACTAAAACTAAAACTAAAACTCTACTAA